CTTCCGCACTCATAGCATTTTCCATCATTCTTATCCTGTTCGTTATATTACTTGGATCGCCTAGGTGGAATCCTTCCTCTCCTCATATTCCTAAATCTTCTCATTAAACCATCCATGTTTCTTGACATCATAGCAATTTCTTCTTGAAGGGCTTCAGGATCATCATCGATATCATTTTTAGCTATTTCAGTTGTGGCCTTGAATGCAACTGTTTTTTTCTTCTTGATTGGTTTTCTTAAGATGTGTCTTTTCAAAGGCTATGAGTTCTCCCCGTAGTTCATCATAAGTTAAATTATTTAGATCCTGAGATTCAAGTGTGACTACTTTGGTCTGCCAAGTAGTTGGTAGGCTTCTGAGAATCTTTCTAACAACCACTTGAATATGGTTTGCCGAAGGCTTTTAGATCACTAATTATTTTGCTAAATCTGACAAACATCTCTTCAATAGACTCTCCTTCTTTCATCTGGAAGAGTTCGTAATCATGAAACAACATGTTGATATGTGTTTCCTTTACCTTGCTAGTTCTTTCGTATGTAACCTCAAGCTTGTCCTACATCTCTTTAGCTGTGTCACAGTTGGAGATTTTCTCATACTCTTCACCACTTATAGCATTATAAAGCAAGTTTCTCGCCTTATTGTTGACTTGTACCACTGCCATTTGCTCGTTTGTATATGAATCTATATCTTCAGGATCAACAAGTGGTTAAGTGGCAACTGGCATAGGATAATTCCCCTTTTTGATGACTCTCCAAACTTTAACGTCATATGCCTTTGCATATATCTCCATACGCACTTTCCAGTGGGAGAAATGTTGTCCATTGAAGTATGGTGACCTTACTTGCGAAGTTCCTTCCTGAAAGAGTGCTCCTAGGATAACTTGATTTGCCATGATCTTTTCTTACGAGTTGTTAAGCAAAAGAAAAATATGAGCCTCACTCTAATACCAATTGAAAGTACAAGAGGGGGGAGGGGGTGAATTGTATATTTTTAAACTTAATTGCTATTAGTTGACTAGTTTTTCAATTAGTCGACTAGATGTAATAAGTTGACAACAGTAACAACAGAATTTAAGATGTTGAAATTAAATGCAGAAATTAAAGACACCAAATTTTTATACTGGTTCGGATTTAATGCAAATCCTAGTCTAGTCTCCTTGGGTTGCAAGGGAGTTCTTTTCTGTGAATGAGTTTCTTCGAGTACAAAGAGAATGGTGTGATCAACATTGATAGCTCAGTTCCTATATCTCTCGTCTCTTTTGATACAACGCCTCACCAGTATTGTTCTCTCTTCCTTCTCTAACTTGTTACACAGTAGGTCTTAGTAGAGCTACAATGTTTGTTTGCAATAGAACAAAGAGAGGGTGTTTGGTTCGATCAAAGTATGTGTGCTAAGGTGTGATTACAAGTTTAAATACTTTGAGAGAGGCTTGAATTCTGGAAAGATTTGCCAACCCAAGAGATTTGATCCTTGGAAAGAGATTGATTCTTTCCAAGAATAAGGCTATTACACAACGGCTCTTTCGGATGAGAGGCTGTAAAGATTTTCCCTTGTGTGTGAGCCCAAAATCTTGATCCTCCCATATTTAGATGCTTGATTGAATATTCGGCAGAATCTTCAATATACTTGGTTTATTTGATTCCGTTAGTTTAGCCTTGATTGATTCCGTCAGTATTAATTTCTTACTTTAATCCCGTCTCTGTTTCTTGATATCCTATGATTGATTCCATCAATCTTGTATACCAATCCATACGTTCCTTGATTATTGCTGATTGATTTCTTTAATCTTGAATGTTATCCAAGAGTTCCTAGATAAAAAGCAAATATATTATTTTCATCATTAAAATTAGATCTAACACATAGTCTCTGACTTTTAATGGTCGTACTTTGGCTTTTTTTGTAGTACCATTCTGCTTGTTGCTTTTGGGATATCATTCTTATGTAAGCCATGTCTCTTTACTCCTCTGCTTCGTCAAAGTCTTGCTTCCTGTTCTCGTCGTTGCTTGGTCCTCTTAGTCCCGTAGACTTGTGAATATGGCGTTTCTCCTGTGCTTGTTTTTGGCATGGTGCGATATGCCCACGGTACTTCTGGTAAAAATTTCGGCTATAGTCCCTTGGCGTCCTCAAGCTTTTTCTTCAAGATATTTAGTATTGTTTTGTTAGAGGATTCGGCGTAGCCGTTGCCGGCAGAGTGATATGGCGTGGAGAGTATTTTCTTGATGTGCCCTTTCTCGAAGAATTCAGCGATCCTTTTCCGGTGAATTGGGGTCCGTTATCACAGTTGACTTCTTTGGAGATGCCGAAGCGGCATATGATGTTTCTCCATATGAATGTGATAACTTCCTGTTCGCGTATTTGGGTGAACACACCTGTTTCTACCTACTTGGAAAAATAGTCAGTTAAAACCAAAAGAAATCGTATATTACCTTGCCCTGCTGGAAGGGGCCCGACAATGTTCATTCCTCATTTGATGAACAACCATGGCGATGTAACCAAGTGGAGGTGCTCGCCTGCTTGGTTTATCATAAGAGCATATTTATGGCACTGCTCGCACTTTTTGACGTAGTCAGCGGCTTCCTTCTTCATTGTGGGCCAATAATAACCCGCTCGAATGAGGCATCTAACTAGGGCTCGATTGCCGATATGGGCACCGCAGTGGCCTTCGTGTACCTCCTCAAGGACGCGTCTTGTTTGGTTCGGCCCCAGATATTTTTCCAAGGGACCTCCAAACGTTCTTTTGTATAGGTCGTGGTTTATGATGCTGTACCTAGCTGCCTACATTCGAAGTTTTTTGCTTCCTTTTTATCTGATGAGAGTAATCCCTCCTACAAATATGTTATAATACGGTTGCGCCAATCCTAAGTCAAATTTACAGAGTGTACCTTAAGTTGGTCTATTTATGAGTGGAGGAGGGTGACCACATTTTCTTTTGTAATGTTTTTGGTGGCCGCTGCTAACTTGGCGAGTCCATCTTCCTCGATGTTTTGTGCTCGAGGTATCTGGTCGAGTTGACAGTCGTCGAATTTTGGTAGCAGTTTATGAATTTCTGCCTGGTAATTTTGTAGCCGTTGTTCTTTGATTTGGAAAGTTCCTGTGACTTTGTTGACGACGAGTTGTGAGTCGCATCTTAGGATGACTCGTCATGTTTCGTATTTGAGAGCTAGCTTTAGTCCTGCAATTACGGCCTCATACTCGGCCTCATTGTTAGTCATATCGGGGCACCATATGGATTGATGGATGACTTCGCTTGTTGGGACCTCGAGTATGAGTCCCAGTCCAAACAATGACACGTTGGATATGCCAGCGGTGTATAAGACCCATAGGTTGGATAGCCCGGGAGATGTACGAGTAGTTTCTTGTTCGACCTCGTGCATTATTTGGCACTGAAGTCAGCGACAAAGTGGGCGAGTACTTGCGATTTTATCGCTATTCGCGACTGATATGTTATATTATGATCGCTCAATTGTATGGCCCACTTGGCCAATATCCCTATCAGTTCGAGCTTATGTAGGATGCTCCTAGGGGGAAAGTCATTTCCACCAATATGTGGTGGCATTAAAAGTAGGGTCTAAGCTTTCGTGAAGCTACGACCAATGCCAAGGCTAATATTTTGAGGTGGGGGTACCTTATTTAGGCGTCGACCAGAGTTTTGCTGACGTAATAGATTGGAGATTGCGTACCTTTGTTTCACGGACCAGTACTGCACTTACTGCAACCTCCGACACAGCCAAGTATATCAGGAGATGCTCGCCCGTTTCTGCTTTGGCTAGTAGCGAGGGAGAAGACAAGTATGCCTTTAGTTCTTTTAAGGCCTCGATACATTCTGAATTCCATTGGAGCCCGTTGTCCTTCTTCAGCACGTTGAAGAATTTGTGGCACCTATCGGAGGATCATGAGATGAACCTCGATAGGGCGTCTATATGGCCTGTCAGATTTTGCACCTGTTTCTTGCTGGTTAATACTTCAGGTATTCCCTCAATGGCTTTTATTTGGTCGGGGTTGACCTCGATGCCCCTTTATGATACCAGGAAGCCGAGGAACTTTCCCGAAGTTACGCCGAAGGCACAATTTTTGGGGTTCAGCTTCATGCCATATTGTCTTAGTATACCGAAGGCCTCTTTCAGGTGGTCGATATGGTCCTCCTTCCTTTTCGATTTTACCAACATATTGTCTACATAAACTTCTATTGTTTTGCCGAGTTGGTCCTTGAACATCTTGGTGACTAACCTTTAATAGGTCGCCCCTGCGTTTTTCAACTCGAATGGCATGACTCTGTAACAGTATGTTCCCTGATAGGTGATGAAAGTAGTCTTTTCCCGGTCTTCCTATTCCATGAGGATTTGGTTGTAGCCTAAGTAGGCTTCCAAGAAGCTTAGCAACTCGTGCCCTGCTGTTGCATCGATGAGCTGGTCGACATGAGCCAACGGAAAGAAGTCTTTCGGGCAGGCCGTGTTTAGGTCCGTGAAATACACGCACATCCGCCACTTCCTGTTTTTCTTTTTCACCATGACTATATTGGCGATCCATTGAGGGTATTTTGATTCTCACATGGAGCCGTTAGCGAGTAGCTTATACACCTCATCACTGACGACCTCGTTGATTGTGGAATTGAATTTTCTTCTTACTTGCCACACTGGGGGTAGAGTGGATCGACGTTCAACTTGTGTGTGGCAACGTTCTTCGGGATACCTAGCATATATGCATGGGAGAAAACGAACAAATCGGTGTTGCCAATTAAAATTTTATGAAATTTACCTGGTTTTGAGAGTTTATGGCTGATGTAAGCCTTTTGGCTGTCATCGCTGTTGTCAAGTTGGACGAGATTAAGGTCTTCTACAGGTTGACCCTGCGGCTTCCATGATGTCGGGGTCCCTGATGACGTTTTTTTGTGCGTCGAGTTCAGGCCCCAACTTTGGTAATTACTATGCTTCTTAGTATGTTCCCTATAACTGTTGAGTGTATGTACAATCTTGAGCGATGCGATAACATTCTTGGGCTGTGTGTTATTTGCCTCGGATGCTGAATATCCCCCATGAAGTAGGGAACTTGATTATTTGATACAGGCTGGACGGGATGGCCCTCATGGCATGTATCCATGGTTTCCCTATGATGGCGTTGTAAGCTATATCTTGGTTCATGAAGTGGAACGTCGTTTCTAGGGTGACGCCCCCAGCCAAAACAGGTAGCGTTATCTCCGCTGAAGTTCGCTCAACTGCATTGTTAAAACCTGTTAGTATTATGCAACGTGGTACGATCTTGTCCTCGAGTCTCATTTGCATGAGAACTTGAGAGTGGATAATACACGCGCTGTTTCCATCGTCTACCATTATTATTTTTATATCAGTATCTGAAATACGTAAATTAATGACAAGAGCATCAAAGTGAGGGAAAGTCAAACCGTGGGTATCTGACTTATCGAAGATAATACTGTCATTGAGGTCATCATACTGTTCGTGGGTGATCGACCATTTTAGTTTATGTGTGGTGGTAAATTTCACGGGGTTGATTGCTACTTCATCGCCGCCGTTGATGATCATTTGGAAGGTGTGGGCGAGGAAGGGTGGCTTTGGAGGGCCTTGGTGTTGTTCTCGTCCGCGGCTTTGGCTCGTCCCCGATCGCTCATTAGCTCCCTCAGGTGCCCTTGGTTCAGCATGTTCACTACTTCTTGCTATAGGGCTATGCAATCCTTGGTTTTGTGACCCCGCTCCTGGTGAAATTCACAGAGGACAATCAACTTTCGGGTACTTGGATCGGACTTCATTTTTTGTAACCACTTCACCTTTGTGCCAAGCGTCTCTAGTGCGTACACTATTTCTGAAGGGGAAACACAAAAAATGTGAGCAGATAAGAGTTGAGGCATACCTCTTTCGTTCGTTGAGTCCCTATATGCGTCCTGGACGACCCTTCCACATGTCGAGGAGATGATGGGATGGCCATTTTGACATAGGGTTGATGCCTGTCTCGGTTGAGGCATGGTCCTGACTGATCTCTCCAACCATCATTACAACGGTCTTTCCTCGACTCCGTTTGGACTGACGTTAACCGTTGAGTTGGACCGTTATGGTCATCCTTGTCTGCTCTCACCTCGGTGCAGTAGGCATTGTGAATTTCTTCCCAAGTGGTGGGAGGGTATTTCATGAGCCTGCTTAATAACTTTTTGGTCACTCTCGACCCATTCCTGTTCAACCCTTTTTGGAAAGCTACCACCGCTATCCCTTCTGATACGTTTGGTAAGATCAGCCTTACCTATTAAACCGAGCGAGGAAGTCCCTGAGTCCCTCGCCAAGCAATTGCCTAAAGGCGAATATATCATTAACCCTGGACTCTGCCTTCTTAGCCCCAGCGTGGGCGGTGACTAACTTGTCGGCCATTTATTCGAACATTGTTATTGAACGTGCCAGTAATTGTGAGTACCAAGTTAAGGCTCCCCCGTTAGGGTCTCGCCAAACTGCTTCAGTAACACTAATGGTACCTGCTCCTTCGAAAGGTCGTTGCCTTTTACCGTTGTGATGTAATGGATGATATGATCTTCGAGGTTTGTGGTGCCGTCATATATCTTCAAATACAGTGGCATTTTGAAGATATTGGGTATGTCATGTGGGGCCACCTCCTCGCTATACGGTTATTCGACGAATCGACCGACATCCCATTTTGGTAGCAGTTTTGGGGCGCCCAGTATCTTGTCAACCCTTTCTTGATGTTCCCTCATCTGACAGCGGAGTGCTTTGTTCTTGTTTTCCATTTCTTCTATTTTCTTTAGAATGGCTGCAAGTGCGTTATTACCTGCATCAACAGAAACGTGAGTGTTACCTGTTGGGGGAGCGGGTTGTTCGCCGGTGGTCGCTGTGGTATCTTCTTGTGCGACATTTCTGTTCGCCCTTTGAATGGGTTTGTCCAGTATGTTATTTAGGATACTTGTCAGCCACTCCTCAAGTAATATTTTCACCACTGGTGGTGCTTCCTCAGTTGTGGACGTGGAAGCTCCCTTTTCGCGTGAAATGGTTACACTTCCGTGAGAGGGAGGTGAATCACTCCGTCTGGGTGTAGCACTTGGTTTCATATTCTTATCATCTTCTCTGCCATCCTCGTTGATAGTGTTTAAGATGTTGGTAGTGACACTCATTACTGCTTTCTGTCTTTCATCTCCTTTTCCTGCCATTGTTAGTTTGTGCAAACGAGAAAAAGATGGATGTCCTTCTTTATGATCTAGAAGAAACTAAAATTTTAACTAGAACCTCCCCACAGAAGGCGCTAAATTGTTTGACCAAAAAGTATTAAACTAATTGTTAAACTATATAGGGTGAATCTTAGTTAAATATAATAAAATCTAGATAAAGAACTTGGACAGATCCGTGGAATGCGGTCACGTTTAAGAGTAACGAATATTAGACATGTGTATAATAATTATCAATGAATGTTGTAATAAGAGCATGCAATAAATGTAGACAATGATAATAAATGTAATAAAGAGGAATTTATCACCTAAATGTTAGATGGTTTGGATTCTCCTTCCTGACAGCAACATGAGACAAAAATAAATGAAGATGGATAAGGAATCTTTGGATCTTATTCCCAAAGAATGAGTAATGTGTGTGGAGCTGTAGAATCAATGAACAAGACAATATTTGTATATTCTTCTCGGTTAACTCTTTACAAAGTGCTCTTATCAAGAAGTGAAGATCCCCCTTTTTCTCTATCTCTTCCTATTTATAAGGAATATCCCCAAGAAACCCTAAAAAGTACAAAATAAGGAATATCCAAAGGAATTTTCCTTGTGTCTATTTCTAAATCTATCCTACCGTTATTTCTTTCTTGAAGCTGCTCGTCCTTGACAATAGTCTTTCTAAGGACAATGTCCCGCTATTGATCCATAATCAACCCCGTCCTCGAACATGTTTTTCTACCGTGATCAAGTTGCCAAATTTAGACCAATACAGGTCTGATTTTGGCAGCAAAAATAATGACAGATGATTAATGGTTAGTGTATTACACTTTCTCTCTCTAAAACATTTCCTCTCGCTTCTCACTAAAACAAACAAAATCTTCATTATCCTTACTATAGCAAAAGCCAACTGAAATGGAAACAGTCAACTAAACTTTTTATATCCCCCCAAACCACTAGATATAGAAACTAAAATCCTGAGTAAAAACAGCAATAAATAAGTTCTGAGCTTTAAAGACAAATTAATTGAAGGAATACAATACTCCTTAATAATTGCTGACACCCCTTCATACGTTGGTATTGCTACAAAGCCCCAAGAACCAAATCTGTTATCCATTGACTTAAATTCGATTAAAGATCATAGAATTCACTTGATGGAGGAATATCAAGAACGTATATACCAACCATGGAAATATTCACTTATCATCAACTCCATGGCAAAAAAATCCAACATCATATTCTCAAAAGAAAAATTCAAAAAGTTTGAAAATTCATGGAATTTTTTTCTCTAATCGACCTAGGAGCAGACTATTACATAACAAAATTCAAATGCGAGGAACATATGGCCAGGGTTCTAAACAATGGCCCATGGTTCATATTTGGTCATTTTCTCTCAATCTAAAGATGGAAGCCAAACTTTGTGGCAATAGAAGTAAAAAAACTCTCTTACAGCCATATGGGTTCGTCTACCCCAGTTATCAACCGAGTTTTATGATGGTATTATTCTAGCAAGAATTGGAAATACCATTAGTAAATTATTAAAAGTGGATGCTTGCACATCCTCTACGCTAAGGGGTCGTTATGCCAGATTATGTATTGAGCTTCCACTTGAGGTTCCTGTCATCTCCTTCATCCACATTGGTCATCACGAGCAATTCATCTAATATGAAGGAGAGAACACCCTATGCAAACAATGGTGGAAGTGCTGTGCTGAATACCCTTCCAAGCAAATCAAATCCTCGCCTAAATGGAGCAACTAATATCCATGAAACATATGGTGAAGTGTGGCAGACGGTTAAGTTCCCCAGGAAAAAAAGAACCAATGGAAGGGGTATTGAAACTACTTAAAAACCAGGTATTTACTCAAATCCTCCACATCCAATACCAGGTAAGTCTCCTACTCAATTCCCTAATACTAGATTTAACCTTTCTGATACTCAAAGCACGAGTAATACTAAAGGAATTAGTAATCATTCCACTTTTTCTCTAAGAAATCACGTTAGCTGTAGCAATAAATTTTTCACCTTGGAGAATCCGCTGATAAAAACTGTGGCTAATGATTTTCATAATACAAAAAATAATTTGCTTTTAGGAAATAAGGACGTGTCATTAATCAATTCTCCTAATAGCAACGTGTCTTGTATGGAGGAGAGTGAATTAACCAACATGCAGATGTTAAATTCCCTCACTTATGATAATAAATATGATAACCATTCAAAAACCTCCATTATTAATTATGAGAAAGAAACTAACTTAACTGAAAATCATCTCCCTAATTCCTCTAAACAAATTGATAATGAACCAAATTACTGCATGGAAAAAGACCATGCCCCACAACACCTGTTCCACATGCCCTCCCTAATGAACAATTGGCCAATAAGAGCCAACACGTGCCTACCCTACTACTATACCAAATCCGCTTAAAATCTCATCTCAAACAAGCAACCAAGGCATGCAAATAGACAAAATCATTAGCAACCTAAAAAATCCCTCTACCCAAACCCTTTCCCCTTCCACCGATCAAAACAACACTGATATTATAGACCACCTCTTTGATAACCAAAATGCCAAGAATACCTATCTTCCAAAGGAGGAGATACAGACTTGTACAAATCCTAAGGCATCAAAAAGCTCACACAATGGCCAACCCTCCACCAAACTTGAACAACCAACAAGGAAACCAAACAATCTTTTTCATTCAACCACCTCTTCCCCAAGACCATCAACCGCTTTCATAGATAGAACAAGCATTGATGGGTCATGCAATCTCCTTCAACATGATCCTGGATGGTCAGGAGACAGTGATCATTCTCCAAAACTCTCACTTCCTAGCTCAACTTGTTTCCGAAGGAATGCACATGTCCATGAGCAACTATCTCAACCATGTTTGGCTAAACAACATACTCCACCCACTAGCTCCTACAATGAATGCACACCAAACCCATACAATAAGAAATCAGTGGAACCTCCCACCTTACTTCAATCCCCTCCAGCCACAGAATATGTCACCAGATCCCCCTTTCTTCCCTCCGGGGGAGATCCAAAACCTAAATCCAATTTTCATGTCTTGGGCATCAGCCCCACACTTCTTTCAGAACCAACCTCAAGCAGATCCTCTAGTAAGCAATCCACCACCACAACCAGTCAATCCCAATGTGCAAGAACAAGAAGAGCCTCAAGTAGGGAATGTAGAAGAAATGAATTTTCTAGGATCAGAAGAGATAATAGAATTCTCATTTCTAAATGAAGTAAAAGTCTATCTCTTCAGGGAGATGCAAGAGAAGAGGTATGTTCTAAGCTACCCCCAACCTTGTACAAGTGCTCAATGGACATCACGCCACCACAAGACCCAATGGTGGGGAGCCATGCAATGATACTTGTTCTATCATGACCCAAAATCTAATCATGGTCGTGATGGAACCTATCGTATTACAAGGCAAGCCTACTTCCCAAATTATTATTGCTAAACTGATTATAAGAAATTAATAAAATATTTTAATATTTAAATTTTTCATAAACTAAATTAACTCTAAATATAATATAAAAAAATATGGAAACATGCCCCAAACTTCGGGGTGTTACTCACTCATGAGCGTCTAAATCTACGAACTAAGATATATGAACTGTATAACTATCAATACAATCCAAAAGAATAAACAGAGGATAAAATGAGTAACAAGGTCCTACGGATGCTAGCAGCTATCTTGCAGTCTCCAAAGACAGCCGGCCTGAACTCAACGATCGCCGCGCTCTAACTCACCTGAATCTGCATATAAAGTGCAGGGTGTAGTATGAGTACAACCGACTTAGTAGTAACATAAATAACTAAGGAACTGAGCAGTAGTGAAGAGCTAAGTAAAACAGTCCAATTATTTTTTTCACAATTTATAAAAATAAACAGAAATAAACAGGTAAATTCCATAACTCAGAAAATGCCACAAAGAAATTTAACAGATAAATGCTGCAACAACAAAAGTAAATGCAACCTCACAACAATGTCACTCCATCACTCATCACTATCTCTCAGCACTCAACACTCAACACTCAATACACTCAACACTCTGCGCTCACTGGAGGTGTCTACAGACTCCGGAGGGGCTCCCAAAGCCCAAGCGCTAAGCACGGAACACTCATGTGCTACCATATCAATACCTGGATCCATACGGTCAACTCACGCGCTATGACATCAATACTTAGACCCGCATGGTC